TATAGTGTGTGTGTGTGTGTGTGTGTGTGTGTGTGTGTGTGTGTGTGTGTGTTTGTGTTGGGGGAGAGAGAGAGAGTGCCTTACCCACAACTGGAGCTCTGGAGCTAACCATATCTGGTCTAATAGAGAGAAGATTTGCAAAGGGAACATAGATAGAGGCTATGAATGAATTTTAGAAAAAGAGAATTGTCTGTGGCTGATTCAAGTGTTGCAATTCTCCTTCTCCTCTCATCATCGCCAGCTACAACTCTTTCCCCTGAGACGTTTATAATGATGCATCTCTAACACATGAGTTTCTCTCTCTTACAGGTTCTGGAGACCTGAGGAACCCAGTCCTCACAACAATGAGAACTGTGTTGTCATGCATGTGCCGGGAGAACAAAATACACATGGTAACAGGAATTGGAATAACGTTCCTTGTTCCAGTGCATGTCATCGAATTTGTGAGACTGCAACACTTAGATTTTGAGGAAGAACCCCCATCCTGGACGTGAGGCTGGAGAGTCAGTGCATCTCTCACTTGGGTCAGCTCACAGAGAGATCTGGTGGGAGGGTTTGGATCAGCCCTGGGCTATCATGAGATTGGGTGTAGGCAGTGCAGGATGATATTGGGGCTCAAACTCATTCACTAGATCAATTTTGGAAAACTCTGAAAACAGCTGAAAATATCTAATGTGGAACAAGCCAAAGTGCAGTGAGCCCTGCCTGTGATGTCATTGAAGCTCCCAGGAGACTGGTGGAAGAGGCTAGCTGGGAAAGGCAGGACCAGTGAGTTTTCCCTGGGAAATCTTGAAAGGAGGTTTCCTGTTCATATTAGCCTTCCCATTGTTGGGCAGGGTAACAACTTACATTGTGTATATACTGCAGCAGGGCTGTAAAAACCAGGAATAAGGCCCTGTCCATACTGAAAAATTACTAGGTCAGACCTGTTTCCCATTGACTCTGCTACAACTCAGTTCCACCTTGTAAAAGAAATGGGACTTTGTCCATGTCCCTGAGCAATGCTTAAAGCCTTAAATGGTCCAATGCTTTAGCATCACTCAGGGACAGAGGCTTGTCTATGCATGGAACTGGACTGATTGAATTACAGTGCATGGGTTTACAAACCCGTTTAGTTACATTGGTGCAACTCCCTTATGTGGAGACTTTTATTGTGGTTTAGAACTGATGCATTATACCAGGTCAGTGAGAAATCACCTAACCTAAATTAATAGAGGGCTCTTTCATACAGAAATAAGAGTGTCAGCATGGACGGGGTGGCACCAATTTAACTCCATCAGCGTCTAAACTTATTTAGTTAAATTGGTGCAGTTTTCTCATGGCGACAAGCCCACAGTTAAAATCAACAACATCGAGCCCTGCTGATACCGTGTTGGGAGACGTACCTGTTTTATCTGGGCCCTCTAATCTGGCTTTACCTGCAGTGTAAACAAGGCCTAAGCAGTACAGTGAATAGCTATTATTCCTAATAATTACTGTCTGTGATAAATATTCATATGAGCCATGTGAGCAGAAGAGCCGGAAAACCACTGTAAAACCACAAACTGTAGAATTATGGCCACTGATTCTTGTCAACTGTTTAAACATATTCTTATTGGAACAAAACAAATCAACCATTGTGTTAGAGCCTTAAATACCCTGCTGTGCTGAGGTGCAGAAAGAGGGCAGAATGTCAACGGACACCCTGATCCTAAGACTGTACCTCCTAGGCCTTGAACAGATCTTCTAGTTCTCATCTCACCTGGGAGCCAGGGCAGAGTTGGTTCCTGCAGCACATTCTCCACTCCCTTATCTCATTCTGCTTTGAATGACTTGAGCAATGTGGTTTCCACCACTTTCTTTGAAGAGGTCTCAGTCCTGTTAATGAACTTAGAGGTCAAATGTCTGATGCTGTGTAGATGGTTCTCTCCTGGGGGGTCCTATCTTTTTTTCTCTGAATACTATAAAGTTGCCTTTCATACATGGTCACTTTGAGGCTGTATCTATTGACGTCTTTATCTTAATAAAGTCACATCTTAATACATAGAACCTAAGCTGGTTAATTCCTGGGCACCAAGCTCGACCTCCTGCAAAGTTCAAGTTCCCCAATGTGCTGGGTTGAAATCTTAGCCAATTGCCCTCATTCGTATTGGGCAGCACAGCTCTTGCTTGTCCTCCCATGGCCTGGGCCCCAGTTCTGCCAATGCCCCTCAGTCCTGGCCTGCAGCCCCCTTGTATTCCAGTTCCAGACTCCCCACACAGCCCTGCCAATGCCCCTCAGTCCTGCCCTGCAGCACAATCTGCTGTTTCAGTCAAAGGCTTCCCACACAGCATTATTATGGCACCCCCTACCATAATAACATAAGAATGGCCATACTGGGTCAGACCAAAGGCCCATCTAGCCCAGTATCCTGTCCTCTGATAGTGGCCAATGCCAGGTGCCCCAGAAGGAATGAACAGAACAGGTAATCATCAAGTGATCAGTCCCCTGTCACACATTCCCAGGGCTACATACAGGGCTCCTATTTCTTTCTGTCTCATAGGATTTAAGGATGGTAGATAGATGGATTAGATAGTGTAAGGGTGTATTGCAAACAGACCGTATATGTTCAGAGCAAACCACAGTCTCAAATGTTGCACCAACTAAAAAGACCCAGGAAATGCTCATACCTCCTAAGTAACACTCATACTGTATAACGAACACCTAGGGTGGCCATAAGTCCTGTTTTGGGTGGGACAGTGCCTTTTTTAAGCTCTGTCCCAGCCGTCTCGACTTTTTTGGCAAAATTGGGCATTTGTCCTTTGCTCTTGCCAACTGATCATCAGTTGGCAAAAGCAAACTGGACAGGAGGGGGGCCTCAGACCAACCCCGTGCAGTGTCCCATTTTCTCTTTGGGAAAATATGGCCACCTTACAGACACCCGCTATAAGGAGGCATTAGCTCCCTGATCAGTCATGTTGGAGCACTGAGGGGAAATGGAACCAGTTCCTTATTCCAGCTGGAGTTCAAGGGTCTAAACTGGCTGAGTCACATGTAATTCTCCCAGGGTACAAGGGGGAACAAGTGGATTCAGCAGTTGAGGGAGGTAACCAGAGCAATCCCGTTTATGGTCAGCAGGAGGAGACTGTTGGTACAGCACCCTAGGGGATCCCACTGCCAGGTGTTTAATAGCTATTCTTCAGTACACGCCAGGCACCTCCAGCATCCCAGACACATTTAGACCTTGTCCGCATGTGGAATTAGTGCGCACTAAGCTATGGTGTGACTTTAAAGTCCATTAAAGTGCACTAGCTACTCTACACTAACTCCCTGTGTGGATACTGTTACTGTGCACTAAGAGTGCCCTTGGGAAGTTTGGCTTGATGTGCTCTTAAAGTGTATTAAGCTAGTGCGCAAAGACTTACTCCTGGGACATCCTGTAAGAGGTCTAATGGGGCTGTGTTTCATTCAGGCTCCTTCTCTAACTTTTCCTTCAGCTAGTGCGGCTTGTTCCCCCCAGTCCTCAGAAGAGATTGTGGGGCTGAAATCCAGCTCTCAGGAGCCCCACATGGGATCAGATGGATTCTAGGCCACCCTGTTGGAGGCCCTGTGTCTTCCTAAGGTCCTGAGTATCCTGCATCTCACCCTCCTCTCCTCCAACTGCCATCCAACCCAGTACGGCAGTGCCATTGGAGTCAAGCTGCCAGTGCTTTCACAGCCAGTGCCTGCTCAGGGGACACCCATCAAGAAGGATTCTCATCTCAGAGTATAAGGGGTAGGGTGAGTAATAGAGCCCAGGGCGGCATTATCTACCCCAGGGAAACCATAAAGGGCCCATAGGAGAGAATGTGTGTCACTATCCATGTCTCAAAAGCCAATCCTGGACTAGTGAGCTATTTGTGGGGTGTGATGCTCTGTATCTTGGGGGAACACCCAGCATCCCCATGTTCATACTTGTAAAATGATTGTGCAACACATGACAAAGTTTGCATTGGATACCACACAAAGGGCCCATAGGAGAGGATGTGTGTCACTCTCCACGTCTCACAAGTCAATCCTGGACTAGAGAGTTATTGGTGGGGTCCAGGGGAAAAGTGAGTCAGAGACGGCTTGCTCCAGCCACTGAGGAGATCCGCGCAGGGAGAGTTCCACTGACTTTGGGACGGGGGGACCATGGAGTTCTGTGGCATTCAGAGGAGCGAAGTTCCTTCTCTATATATCTTTGTGAGGCTCATGCTTGGCTCATTTTAGTTTCACTTCATGTTCCTCTCTCAATATTTTTCCCATGCGATAAGAAGGCAGCAAACCCTCAGCTTCCTTTGTGCCCACTCAGTGGGTTCCTCAAACTCCAGTGCTGCTTGCCAGTGCCAGCAGAGAATTTATATGCTTCTTGTTTGTGTCTGGCCACCTCCAAATACACCTAATTCCTCAGCTCAGTGTCTCCGTGCTCGTGACTACATGTGAAACCCGAAGTCACTGACAGGGAGAGCGAGGCCTAGGAGCGACCATGAGCCCAGCAGGGGAAACCAGCCCTGGAACTGCAGGTAACAAGGGGGAATTTATCTCTGCTCTGCTGGGGGAATGGATGGTGGTAATGACGGCTGGAAAAACGAATGGCCAAGGACTGATGGATAAGTCAGATCAATAGAAGGGCCTTACAGAAATGGGTGATCCCAGGAGAGAGAGGATGAGATAGAGGGGCAGAGAGGGAAAGGAAGGAGAGAGACAAGAACTAGGGGTGAGCTGGGAAGGAAATTGGCAGGGGAGAGAGGAGAGAAAAGCCAAGCAAAGAAGGGGAACAAGAATGAAATTTGGGGAAAGGAAGAAATGGAAGAGAGAAGCAGTGAAGGAACAGAGAGTGAGGAGAGAGTTGAGGAGGGAGGAGAGAGAGGTAGAAAAAAAGGAAAGACAAAAGAGTAAATGGGGAGAAGAGATGGTTCCTGTGAGCACACAGAAGAGAGAAAAACCTATGCAGTGCCTCCAGGCACTGTGCTAGAAACAGACCTGCTGGGCCTCCTGGGCCCTCCTGCTCCTTTGGGTCTGGTCTGTGTGATGGCTGCCTGGTGTATTTCAGCCCCTGCAGAGAAGAGGGGAGGCTGCCCCTGTCCGAGCCCCTGGGTCATTGCTGTGATCTCCATCCTGGTCCTCAGCGCCTGTTTCATCTCCAGCATCCTCGGTGGGTTCTGGCTGCTGCTTATTCAGCTGGATTGGAAAGAACACCAGATAAGATGCAATAAGCAGGGATTGTATGGCTCTGTGGGGGATTGGTTGCCCCTGTGGGGGGTATTATGAAAGGATCTGTCCTGCTTTTTCCCTCAGCCCTAACTTACAAAAATAAAGAGGTTCCCAGTGAAATGAGTGGCTGGTACATTCAGAACCAGTAAAGGGAAATGCACATTCACACGGCATATTGACGACTGGTGGAACTCACTGCTGCAGGGGTCATTGAGTCAGATACAATAACTGGGTTTAAAGAGGGGCTGGATACATTTATGAGGAGCAGTTACATTGGTGCTGCTGCTAGCAATGGATAGAGGTACTAGCCATCCTGTTTCAGGGCATGATCTGGTCACTGCAGAGGTCAGGTAGAATCCTCCTTTCCTCCAGTCTGGGATCATACTGCACAATGAGACACAAGATGTAAGGATGAGCCTTCCTGTGAGGCACTTGGCAAGAGACAAACCAAGAGTCTGTTCTCACCCTGCAGATCTGGTCCCCCTCTCCCACTGGCTAGTGCTGTAATTCTGGTTTTCACCCTCTCTGTGTCTGTAGTTACCTGGCGTTGGGACACTAGGACACGGCATGAAGAGCAAGATAAACTGTCTTGGCTGCGCAGGTATCCGAAGGAAAAAACTTGTGTTTCAGAGGCAGGGAAAGGTCAGTATGAACGAAAGTCAGCAGAAATGACTCCCCACCACATGCAATTCCCTTTTTTTCTGGGACCTGGAATCCGATTCAAACTCCTGTGTAGCCTGAAGAGATCCTCACCTTGGGTGGAGCTGGTAACCAAGTGAGATCACACAAACTTATCTTGTGGATAAGGGAGACGCTGTGGATGTGGTATACCTAGACTTTAGTAACGCGTTTGATACGGTCTCGCATGATATTCTTATCGATAAACTAGGCAAATACAATTTAGATGGGGCTACTCTAAGGTGGGTCCATAACTGGCTGGGTAACCGTACTCAGAGAGTTGTTGTTAATGGTTCCCAATCCTGCTGGAAAGGCATAACAAATGGGGTTCTGCAGGGGTCTGTTTTGGGACCGGCTCTGTTCAATATCTTCATTAACGACTTAGCTATTGGCACAGAGAGTACGCTTATTAAGTTTGAGGATGATACCAAACTGGGAGGGATTACAACTGCTTTGGAGGACAGGGTTATAATTCAAAATGATCTGGACAAATTGGAGAAATGGTCTGAGTTAAACAGGATGAAGTTTAACTTGGGGTAGGTCTACACTTACCTCCGGGTCCGGCGGTAAGCAATCGATCTTCTGGGATCGATTTATCGCGTCTTGTCTAGACGCGATAAATTGATCCCAGATCGATCCCGGAAGTGTTCACCGTCGACGCCGGTACTCCAGCTCGGCGAGAGGAGTATGCAGCATCGACGGGGGAGCCTGCCTGCCGCGTCTGGACCCGCAGTAAGTTCGAACTAAGGTACTTCGAATTCAGCTACGTTATTAACGTAGCTGAATTTGCGTACCTGAGTTCGAAATGGGGGGTTAGTGTCGACCAGGCCAAAGACAAATGCAAAGTGCTCCACTTAGGAAGAAAAAATCAGTTTCACACATACAGAATGGGAAGAGACTATCTAGGAAGGAGTACGGCAGAAAGGGATCTAGGGGTTATAGTGGACCACAAGCTAAATATGAGTCAACAGTGTGATGCTGTTGCAAAAAAAGCAAACATGATTCTGGGATGTATTAACAGGTGTGTTGTGAGCAAGACACGAGAAGTCATTCTTCCGCTCTACTCTGCTCTGGTTAGGCCTCAGCTGAAGTATTATGTCCAGTTCTGGGCACCGCATTTGAAGAAAGATGTGGAGAAATTGGAGAGGGTCCAGAGAAGAGCAACAAGAAT